AAACTTGTAAGTAAACAGCCAGGCAAGGCGTGTTAGTTTTCCTTTGTTTTCTCAACTTGTAAATGTACCTTTTACTAGAGTGTTTATCTCTGTTTGCTGTACTTTGAACCTGAGACTAGAGGGGGGGTCCTCTGAGCTCTTTAAGTTTGATTACCCTGTAAAGTTATTTTCCATACTGATTTTACAGAGATGATTTTTACCTTTTTCTTTAATTAAAAGCCTTCTTTTTAAGAACCTGATTGATTTTTCCTTGTTTTTAGATCCAAAGGGGGTTGGAACTGTATTCACCAGGAGTTGGTGGAAGGAAGGAGGGGGGATGGTTAATTTCTCCTTGTTTTAAGATCCAAGGGGTTTGGATCTGTATTCACCAGGGAATTGGTGAAAGGTTTCTCAAGGCTTCCCAGGGAAGGGAATTAGCTTTGGGAATGGTGGCAGCGGACCAGATCTAAGCTGGTAGTTAAGCTTAGAAGTTTTCATGCAGGCCCCCACATTTGTACCCTAAAGTTCAAAGTGGGGAAGCAGCCTTGACAGGCCTGGTGCTTCAGGCTTTCTAAGAACCTGGTACAGTAGATGCTATAGAATGCACACTCTGGAAAAGGATGGTTTGGCTGTGGGGAAAAAACCTGCAGATCTCTAGTTAGGCAAGGAGAGTCTGAATAAAAATGGCATTTGACTTCTTTTCACAGAAAGAGGAAAAAGTCAAAACCAATCAAAGCCACGCCTGGAAATGTAAAACACAATGCACCACTCACAGCAGAATTTACCTAACGAGCTCAGGAGCCTCTTATGTGTTTGTGACCATTGTCAGAATCCTTTTTTATGGGTGCTAGGTCTCTCCCACACTTATTTTCTTTTGCTCTCGAAAAGGTGCTGATTTACTAAATATTCACTAGTATAAGAGAAATAATTGTCCGTCCACGTCTACACTACAAAGCTAAGTCGACTTCATGTAAGTCTACACTGAGCCTCTGATTTAAACAAGTTGATCTTGCGTGTCCACACTACGCTCATTGTGTCGGTGGAGTGCATCCTGACTAGCAGGGCTTGCATTGATGCACGGAACACTGCACTGTGCGTAGCCATCCCGCAGTGCATGTAGACACAGATGAGTGGAATTTTGGGTTGGGCTTGCAATGCCTTATGGGACCAAAACATTGGCACGGGTGGTTATGGGAACATGCTGTTAGCCTCCCATGATGCACTTACCTCCCTCCCTCCCTGAAATCAACAGCAAACAAACCAAGCCTTTTTTCATAAGCCTGGGTTACCTGCATGGACGCCATAGTATGAAAAGCCTGGACCCCGCTCAGCTGTACACTGTTGTTGTGAGCATTACAAACACCTCATGCCTTATCCTGCAGTATTTACACAGCCGATACAGGAGCTGCCACACAGAACAATGTGATGTCACGCAAGCAGCCATGCTGGAAGACATAGAGCAGAGCAATTCGCAGTTGCTGGTGACCATCACGCATCACCTTGACACGGTTGAGCGCTGTTTCTGGGCCCGGGAAACAAGCACTGATGAGCAGTGGCTGTGGAACTTTCAAATGTGTAAGGCCACTTTCCAGGAACTGTCTGAAGAGCTTTCCCCAGCCCTGAAGCGCAGCAATACTAAAATGAGATCTGCTCTGACAGTGGAGAAGTGAGTGGTGATTGCTGTGTGGAAGCTTGCAATGCCAGACTGCTACCCATCAGTGGGGCATCAATTTGGAGTAGGTAAATCTACCGTGAGATCAGTTGTGATCCAAGTTTGCAGGGCCATCGACAGACTTCTGCTAAGAAGGGTAGTGACTCTGGGCAACATGAAGGACATAGTGGATGGTTTTGTCTCAGTGGGGTTCCCTAACTGCAGTGGGGCGATAGATGGAACGCACATCCCTATCTTGGCACCAGACCACCTTGCCAAAGAGTACATAAACCAAAAGGGTACTTCTCAATGGTGTTGCAAGCTGTAGACACTGACATCAGCGTGGGATGGTTGGGAAAGGTGCATGACGTGCACATCTTTAGGAACACAGGTCTGTTCAGAAAGCTGCAAGCAGGGACTTTCTTTCCAGATCACAAAATAACCATTGGTGATGTTGACATGCCAATTGTGATCCTTGGAGACCCAGACTACCCCTTGCTCCCATGGCTCATGAAGCCATACACAGGCAGCCTGGACAGCCGTAAGGACTGATTCAACCATAGGCTGAGCAAGTGCAGAATGGTGGTGGAATGTGCCTTTGGACATTTAAAAGGTTGCTGGCATTGTTTGTGTACTAGGTTAGACTTCAGTGAAAGCAATATCCCCATTGTTCTTGCTGCCTGCTGTGTGCTCCATAATATCTGTGAAACAAAGGGAGAAAAGTTTCCACTGGGGTGGGGGGTTCAGGCAGATCACCTGCCAGCCAATTTTGAGCAGCCAGACACCAGGGCAATAAGAAGAGCACATCAAGGGGCTCTGCATCTCTGTGAGACTTTGAAAACCAGTTTGATCAATGAGCCAGAGTAATGGGGCACTTATCTGTGTTGTTCCTTACCAAACTGTCCCCTCTGTTGCATTTTCTCCCCTGTAAACTCCACCCCCACCAACCACAGTGTGTTGAATGAATAAAGAGCCTTTTCTCCTCAATTGGTTTAGTTTTATTATGCACACAAACACACAGAGATAGCAAAGAAAAGTAAGTTAACCTGGGGCAAAAGGGCTGATAACATTGTGTGGGGAGGAAACAAGGAAAGCTTGCTTACAGATGCACTACAATAACAATCAAAGGTGTGGAAATGGGCACCTTCTGGTCCTTGTACCCTACCCTGGTATTGAGTGCAAAGGATACTGAACCCCCTGCACCCGGCCTCATAGGACATTGTGGGGAGGAGGATGTAGAGCTGGGAGATGATGGCAGCAAGTTCAGCATAGGCTGCAGAGGGACTCTAGCATCCTAAAGCACTAGGGGCTGCTGGACTTGGCAGAGCCCAGCTTGCACATAGAACACACTGCTTGGAGGGGGGAGTGGGGGGGGGGAGGGAGAGGGAGCTAGAGGGTTCCTGGCAGCTGCAGTTCCCAGCATGCCCTGAGGGAAGGAGAAGGTGCTGCGCGCAGGAAATTCTGTGCAAGCCTGGGCCCGAGCATCAGGCTGTTTCTCCGTCTGGATCCCTGAGCTCTGGGGGCGGGGGGAGGAGCATGGGTGTCTGGGCAAGGTGGTAGGCCCACAGCTGGGCTCTGGGGAGGGAGGGGATGCGGGTACCTGGGCTGGGGGGGGGGACTGTTGGGCTCTGAGGAGGGGAGGGTTTGGGTGTATTGCCTGGGGGGACCCGCAGGTGGGTTCTGGGGGAACAGATTGTGGGTGTCTGGCCCCCCAGCTGGGCTCTGGAGGGAAGAAGGGGGCAGAGAAAGAGGAATTGGGTTGTTGTAGAGGCTTCTTTAACTCTCTACTCCTGGGGGAATTTTTGTGTGTCTGTATTGTTACAGACATACTTACTGATAAGTATTTTGAAATAAATTACCAAAATAATTGAAACTGATGTGATTGTGTAGTGTTATTTTGACAAATAAAATTTGCAGAATTTTGCAGAATTTTAAAATATTATGTGCAGAATTTTTATTTTTTTGCGGGGGGGGGTAGAATTTTTTGGCACAGAATGCCCCAGGAGTACTCTATGATGTGACTGAAGCTGAGGTAATGCGGTATGGGGTAGCAGAAAAGCTGATTGTGAAGCAATTATCTGAAGAGTGTCATGAAGTTTTGACGCTAAGGAAGGGGAAAAAACATTTGCACTAGACCAGGAGGTAAATTTTCTAGAGCTGTAAGCTCAAAGTGTTTAGGTTATGCATGATCAATATTATACACTCTGTTCTGTTTTGTCAACGTGTGTGTGTGTGTGTGTGTGTGTGTGTGTGTGTGTGTGTGTGGGGAGAGAGAGAGAGTGTGTGTGTGTGTGTGTGTGTGTGAGGAGAGAGAGTGTGTGTGTGTGTGTGTGTGTGTGTGTGTGAGGAGAGAGAGAGAGAGTGTGTGTGTGTGAGTGTGAGGAGAGAGAGAGAGAGTGTGTGTGTGTGAGTGTGAGGAGAGAGAGAGAGAGAGAGTGTGTGTGTGTGTGTGTG